AGTAGAGACGGGGTTTCACCATGTTGACCAGGATGGTCTCGATCTCTTGACCTCGTGATCCACCCGCCTCGGCCTCCCAAAGTGCTGGGATTACAGGCTTGAGCCACCGCGCCCGGCAAATTTATAGTTCTTACAGTGAACAAGAAATTGTTTTCAAGAACAGTGTGGACTAGCAACAAGGGGGAGTGTCCCTCTCTTGGGGACACAGGAGTGGTGAAGAGGAGAGATCATAATCAGTGTCACCTGATGGGTGACATAGAAGGGATACTTCAGGAGCAGGTCAACATATCCTTCGTCTCAGGCTCAAGATGAACTTTATCTCGGCTTTTGTTTTGTTTTTTGGCATCTGATTTGAAGTCTTGACTCACTATCAATGGTAACAATGCAAAAAAAAAAAAAAAAAAAGGCCAGATTGTCACCCTTCTGGTACATTTGCACAGAAAAGAAAACCTAGAAAAATCTTGGTTGTAAGAGAGAGGAATTCATTTTTGTTAATAAAGTTAGGAAAGCTGGAAGTGGCTGGCTGTGGATATCTGAACCTGAGATAACACAAAGGCAAATAGTTTTTAGAGTTTATGGGTGCTGAGTGTAGGAGCTGGGTTGCTACTTCGGGTTGTTAAGACAGTCAATAAAAGGGGAGCAAGAGTCAAATTAGTTCAGTTTGTTTCTCCTGGGGCAGGGAGGAGAGGGAGGAGCAAACCAGCCCTTATGCTTTCTTCTAGTCTCTGTCTCTAGCCTACAAGGAACAGGCTCATTTCCCCTTGGCAAGGCGCCTGAAGCAGCTAGCAGGCATGCCCTCCTTTCCCTACCTCAGTTCCCCTCTGACCTGACCGCACTCAGGAACCATAATTCTGTAGGTGAATGTAGGCTCCCATTTCGTCCCACAATCATTTCATCATTCAGGCACAGCTTGACCTCTAATGTGACATCACAAAGGCTTCTGGTCCACAATTTTTTTTTCCTTCTTCAGAAACTACCCCAAACAAGGAAGCTTGTGTTCCAAGGTAAGAGAATCTGAAACGAAAAACTCAGGACCCCTCACGAGCAGCCCGATGCTGCTTTCAACCAGGAAGTTCAAGGGAGGCAGGGCTGTAAGGTCAAAACTGCAAAGCCGAAGCTCAAGACTGTAAGCAGAAAGTGGTCTTCAGAGAAAAGGATTCACCCAAATTGAAGAGGTTGTCGCACTTCTTTTCCCTGGCTGATTACATTTCCTGCCTGTAAACTTTGCTAAGCCCGGGGCGCTGGCTGTAACAGCAGAGACAGGTGTAGGGATACCTCCACCCTCTGGGTATATCTGCGGCCGCCGCTGCTGGGGGCACAGGACGAAGGGCCCTCGACCCATTCCCAGTCCGAGCTTCCGGAGGACGCACCTGGCCCGGGGACGTCTCCCACGTGAGGGGGGCCAGCCAAGCATCCCCAGCCCCGGGGCCACGCAGTCTGCTCCGGCAGGAGGGGGCAGTGAAAAAGGGCGTCTTGGGGCCAGAACCTCGTGCCGGATCCCCCGGGTTTCCCCCCATTTCCAGGATATCGTTTCGCATCAGGGACACTCTTCTGCACACCTTCTACCTCAAAGTCTTGCGCACCTACCCTTCACGTCTCTCCAAAGAACTGAATTAAAGCGCCTACTGGCCTTGGCGGCGCAGGTGAGTGCCAAGAGGTGGAGGAGGAAGGGGCCCGCTCTCCGCCACCCGCTTTCCTCGCCTCCCCCACGGTCGCCAAGCTTCCTCGGGGAGGTATGGCTTGGGGTGCGCGGGTTAAGAGGGAGCTTAAAAATGCCCCAAGCGTCCCTTACCTTCCACAGCCATTCTCTCAGAGCTTTCCTAACACATGCATAATTTTCTTGGCGAGGTACTCCTCCTGCCCCGCACGCCCCCCCTCCTCTCGCTTTCGCCTAAATATTCTGCGCTCATCAGCTCCAGGACCAACCTGCCGCGGTCACGCAAAGCGAGGCAGCCGGCTCCCGGCTCGGCGCGCGCAGGGCGTCCTGGGAAGTGTAGTTCCCTCCCTTCGTTCGGACTCCGGAGACCACCTCGGGTCCTCCGCGGGGCGCCGTCTGGTCCCCACAATCCGACGGCACCTCCAACTTCAGCTGGCCAGGCCGAGGAAGTTGTGAGGGGACCCGGGGTGCCGGGGACGTGTGGGTCGAGGGAAGCGGTGCGGACTACATCTCCCAGGAGGCCGTGCGCTGAGATCGGTTCGGTGCTAAGAGTAGGGACCCGTGATTGAGCTCTTCCCAGTCCATTCCAAGGGGTTTGGCCCCTAGCAGGTGTGGTGAGGTGGGCAGGTGGCGTTCGGCTGTGTGATGAGCTTCCCCGTGCTCGTCCACTGGCCTCGGCAGCCGGCACCGCCCCCCGGCCTCCTGAACTACCCATTTAGTGGGGAAAGCAAATCCACCGGCCGCTTATGGTTCTCCACCTGGGCCAGAGAGCGCTGCCCAGGATGAGGCTGAAACTTGTTCCTTCGCACTCTGGATGTATGGGCTTTGTGGGGGAAATTCCGCCGCTGATACAGCAGTCTTCTGATCCTACAGGGTGGTTCTGGTGGCTAAATACTTGGCATGGGGTGTAGGGGAGGAAAAGTGGCTTGAAAATCCCCAATACACATCATCCCCAAGGGGTTGTTAGGAACAAAGTCTGGGAACCAGGATTGGCCCGGAGGAGGTCAGATGAAAGCCTGCCTGGCTTCCTGGGTAGGAGGCTTTCAGTTTGCCTAGCCTTGGAGCCTGTTAATAGATGGGATAGGGCCTAATAATTAATAGTGCCTAAGAATCAGTATTCCTTCAACTTCTGAACCTACGTCCTAACTGTAGGTGCTGGGGATGCTATAAGCAGACAGGATAAGGGGAATCACGTGGACAGCAATACAAGTCGACAGCCGGTAAAAATTAAGTTTCCAAACATTTTTTCCTGCATGTAGAAATACGGATACGGTTATGGCTAGAATGGGCAAGGGAATAGCCTCGGGAATAAATCTGGCTCAAGACTGGATTAAGACTTTTAAAGACCTTGAGTTCAGAAATGCATTTGGTACCACATTCACCTGGTCACCCATATATAACGTTAATCTCTGTCAAATAAGGACGTACAAAAATCGGATTCTTCCCATGATGACTACTTAGACGTTTTTGTCTCTCTTGGTCATCAGCAAAAAAAAAAAAAAAAAAAACAATTTTGTTTCTAAGTGTATGCAGGCATACCTGTTGTTCTGGTCACTAATTACATGTTTCGTCCTCCTATTGGGTTATATAATAATACGTGTATAGGTACTTTAAAAAAACCTGCATATAACCATTAAATGCTCTTGATGATACTTTAATTCTGAGTCCATGGAGCTGTGTACAAATCAAACCTAAGCCTGTTTTTTAGGTACAGTAGAGTGAGACCCATTCAGTGAGACATAATTTCCACGGGAAACCTAATATGCAGCTAAGCATTCTAAAACCTGGAAAGAACTGACATCCAGGTGCTTCCCTATTTTATGCATATAAAATCACCAAAGTGTTAAGTATTTTCTTAGATTGAATAAATGTGAAAGAAAGCCATAGGACAGGTAGTATCAATGGTTCTCAACCTTGGCTGTGTGTCAGCCTTTTACAAATAGGTATTCCTAAGCTTTACCTTAGTCTCACAGAATTAGGGCTTTTAGGGGTTTGGGTAGAGGCACTTAAGGTGTTAAAAACCCACAGGAGATTCCGGTCTTCATTGAGGGTGAAAACTATTAGTCTGTTTCCAACCTTTTAAATGTCTGGGTAATATTAAAATATAGAAGTCACTGAAATCTGTTGTTAATTTTAAAACTTCGTCTTAAATCAAGTCTTTAATATATTTCCCAATGGTGTGCATTCTAAATATTTTATTTTTAGTATAAATAAGATATGAAGGAGATGTTAGTTTCAACCATATGAAATAGCCAATGTTTGACCATTTTAAAAACCTTCAAATAAAGCAATTTCATGTGGTTCAGCCTAATAAGGGATAAGCAATAGTTGTGCAGAGGTTTTCAATTCTGGTTGAATATTAGAATCGCCTGGAAAGTGCTAAGGAAAAACAATTACAGTTCTCACTAGAATGTCCAAATAAAAAGACACAAAATACCAACTCTTGGCAAGATTTTGAAGCAGTAAAGACACATATGTTGCTTGTGGTGTGCAAATTCACAGCCACTTTGGAAAACCATCCGAAATATTGAGCTGAATATATGCTCACCCTGTGACCTAGCAGTTCTACGCCTAGGCGTATACCAAACAAATATGAATACACATGTTCTTCAAAAGGCATGTGCCAGAATGTTTGTGGCTGCGTTATTTTAATGTTTCCCAAATGGAAAACAACTCAAATATTTATCAACAACAGATTGGAGAGATGAACTGTGGTATAACCAGATAATTCTATATAGCAGGGGTCAACAAACTAAAACCAATGAGTCAAATATGGCTCACCATTTACTTTTTATGTCTCATCAAGTATGATTTTTACATTTTTAAATGGTTGGGAAAAACACAAAAAAGTATAATTTGCCAAGAATGGAAATTATACAGATGTACTTACATAATATCCTCAATTTTGCCTCTTGGCCTACAAAGCCTCAAATGTTTCCTACCTTACCCTTTGCAGAAGAAAAAAGCTTGTTATACCCTTCTATAAAGTAATGAGAATGAAGGAATTACAATTGTATACTGCAACATGATGAGCCACGTGTATTAATCTACTGGTGTTTACAGATTGTCCCAATATTTAGTGGTTTACAACAATACCCATGTATTACTTCAGTTTTTATGGACCAGTGATTTGGGCACAGCTTAGCTTCTGCTTTAGTATCTTTCACAGACTACAGTCATGTATTGTTTAAATGACTTATTTTTGGTCTTTTTTTTTCAATCAGCAGCCAAGTATAGTTCCTAACAGATACTATACTCCCAATTTTAGTAAAGGACAAAGTCCAGACCTCACTCCATACCTCTCATAAGCCAAATTCTGTGTTCATTGTGTTGCTAGTATTTGTTTCTTACAGTACATAAGCCCTTTAGTGCCGTAACTGAATCTTACGCTTCATATCTTCCAGATTCTTGGTCATAATTATGGTTACATAGTAAGTACTCAATAAATAATTTATTGTTACTACTGTCATTATTTTTATCATTGTTATAAGTAGCATTTGTTGAGAAATTACAAGCAGCAAGCTCTGTCTAAGCACCTGGACATACATCATCTTTTTAAATCACTATAATATTGTCATATATCACTATTTTCCAGATGAGGAAATTGAGGCTTAGTGAGTTTAAGTAATTTGCCCTATGTCTCCAAAACATGAATTGTAGCAAGGGGATTGAGGTCCACCTAAGTGCAGAACTTGGTGGTGTTACTCCCATCTAGATTTCAATACTGATTACAGGATCACAAATCTGGATTCATAAGCACTTGGCCAATTAGGAATTGTCATTACTAATAAAATGAGGGGTTTTAAATATTTTAATATCAGAAATTGTGATATTTAAAATGATTCAAAAATTTCTGAATACATCAGAGGGCACAGAAAGGGAGGGAAAGACCATTACCTTATAGTGAATTAAATCATAAAAAAGAAATATTGAGATGAGACAACAGATTTCCCTGGATTCTAAGATTTAAAATAGTGCATATAAGGACTTTACTGTATTTACTGTTCTAACTGGGTTGGTATATTCACAAGCCTCTATAGAAAACATTCATAAATCTCAAAAAGTAAATAGATTATGTTTCTATTCTGTTCAGGGAGATCTAAACCTAACCAAAAGGATTCCAACCCTAAATACTAAAATTTTTGACATGATGGAACTGAGAGGAAAAAAATAATAACTCTAATTCTTGAATCATAAGAAAAAGTACCAACTATTCAAGTTATATCTTTCAGATTCTTGGTCATAATTATGGTTACATAGTAAGTACTCAATAAATAATTTATTGTTACTATTGTCATTATTTTTATCATTGTTATAAGTAGCATTTGTTGAGAAATTACAAGCAGCAAGCTCTGTTGGAGGAAGTAAGCATGTTTCAGGGAACATAATTTATAGGAAAGTCTAGTTATTTTTGCTTACATCACATTGTGTACAATTAAATCACATTGTGTGTTATCTGTATGTTGATTAGTTGGTGAAATTCTATAGCACTGTTCTTCGAAAGTATTCTTTCAAAATCAGACTTAAATTTTGTGTCCAAAATGTGAGCAGAATCTATTTACCTCTGTATTAACTGGTTATCTGAATATTTGGCTTCAGTACTCAAGCCTCATAGACATACAGAACTAGATTGTAATCCTGACTCTCATTTACTTGATATTGGTTGTTAGCAAAGATCTTTGGTATTTCTGTGTGTTGGTTTTCCCACGTCATGGAATACTAATAACTGTAATGTATACATTACCTAACTGAGTTTGGTGCTCAGCAGTGACTGAGAGAGTATATGCAGTGCTATGTGCTATCCTAGCACATAATGGACACCCAATAAGTGTTTGCTCTTTTCATCATCCATGGAAGCCTGAGAAGCCATTCCCAAAGAACTTGGATATAATTCAGTTAAGCAGTAACAGGGGCCTCAGGTTACTTGCCAGGTGTGTAGTAAATCTTCCCAGTCTGACTTGTAGTTAAGTCACAGAATGAACTTAACTTGATCAATGCAGATCCTCTTCTGACAGGCAGGAAAACGTGGGTGTGCCATGGAAGAACAGTGTCCAGGACACTTGCCCCTTTTGGATAGGTCTTCTTGATAAAAAAAAAAAAAAGAGTGTGGGATTATTGTGGGCTGTAGTGGCTGACTGTCTACAAGTTTCTGTGTTCTGGATTTCCTACCCTGAAGTATTAGGTTGGTGCAAAAATAATTGTTTTTTGTTTGTTTGTTTGTTTGTTTTTGAGATGGAGTCTCCTTCTGTCACCAGGCTGGCCTGCAGTGGTGTGATCTCGGCTCACTGCAT